TGTTGATACATCTGATCCTCAGTGGAATGGTATCTTCTGACAACTGACACAGGCTGTCAACATAATCTCAGCACAATAGAAGCTACACTATAGCTAGAAATGTTAACAACTACATTGTGGAAGGAGAACAAGTGACTTCAAGTAAAACCACACTGCAGTTAATGGGAGTGATGAGTTGTGATAGATAGTTGAAACAACAGTTTAAATTGTCCAACATTTCCTAGATTTGGGGAAGATTAGAAATAATGAATTATTCAAAATGTGGGATACAGAAAGCAGGAGACAACAGACCAGTTAGTCAGCCACAAGCTATTGTTGAAAACAATACAGCACTTGTAAAAATTTCTAAGTGAGAGTTATGGAGTGTTAACTTGGTTTTATGAAAGACAGATCACGTTGAACTAGTGGATGTACTATACTCAGATTTTCAGCTTCTTACATTTCATAAAAATGACTTTGATGAAGGAACCAAAGGTATGGTTCAATATAAGTAGGGAAGTAAGTTTTGAGGAAAACACAACAAGGCTAAAGAGGGATATAGACAGGTTACGTGGGTTGCCAAAGACCTAGCTAATGTAGTAATAAGGTAGAAAAGTATGGAATTGTCCACTCTGGCAGGAAGAAAACAAAAGAAGCATATTATCTAAATGGTGAGAGATTGCAGAGTTCCAATATGTGGAGGGATCTGGGTGTCTGAATGCATGAATCACAAAAGGTTAGAATGCAAGTATGGTAACTGATTAGGAAACCTAATAGAATAATGTATTGTGAAGGGAATTGCCTACAAAAGTAGGGAGGTGCAGTTGTACAGGGATTTGGTGAGACCACATCTGGAGTACTGTGTCTAATATTGGTCTCTATAGTTAAGGAAGCTTGGAAATATATTGGAAACAGTTCAGTAAAGGTTTACTCAACTAATATCTGGAATGGGTGTATTGTTTTATGAAGTAAGGTTGGACAGGCTTATCTTACATTTGCTGCAGTTTGAGTAAGAGGTATCTTGATTGAAGCATAAATGATGCTAGGTAGGCTTTACAGGGTGGACTGGAAAAGATGTTTCCTCTTGTGTGAAAATCTAGAACTAGGAGTCACTGTTTGAAAATAAGAGTTCTCCATTTGAGATGAAGATGAGAAATTCTTTCTCACAGAAGGTTGGCAGTCTTTGGAGTGCTCCCTGCTAGCCCTGTGCCTGGTTTGCTCACAAAGTATAATCTAAAAACAGACTGAGCTAGAGTTCAGTTGAAATCGGGTAAAAGCTAAATAAGCCTGAACATCCAACAGTGAGACACAAAGTCAAAATTACAAACAGGCTTTTAATGTTATGGATGGAACTACCTTTTCTTTTTAAGAAAGTACTTTCAGCACTGTGGATAGAAATATAATGCCAATATACACCATAAATGAACAAAATCTTTGAAGATGCCAAGATAATCTGAATTTTATAATTTCTCATTTCCTAAGTTCCAATTTGTTGCTTTGTTAAAAAAAAAAGCCATTTTAACATCTGCGTTGGGAAGACATGGATGAGTCAGTAAGATGGTCCATCTGGATCCAGAATATATCAAAGAAGAAAACATACTTTGCTGTTTTATATTGGCCCATAATCCCTCCAAACCTCTTCTATTCATGTATTTATCCAAACGTCTTTTAGAAGTTGTAACTGTAACTGCATCCTCTGGAAGTTCATTATACACACGAACCACTCTCTGCGTAAAAAAGTTGCCCCTCATGTCCTTTTAAAATCTTTCTCCTCCTTACATTAAAAATACAGCCCCTAGTCTTGAAGTACTCTAATACAGAGAAAAGATAGCTGTCAATCACCTTATCTATACACTTCATGGTTTTAAAAACCGCTATAAGATCACATCTCAACCTCTGACACTCCAGTGAAAAAGTCCCCGCATATCCAGCCTCTCCCTATAACACAAACCTTCCATTCCTGGCAACCTGCTGGTAAATCTTTTCTGAACCCTCTCCAGCTTGATAATATCCTTCCTTTAACAGGGAGACCAGAACTGGACACAGTACTCCATGGGACTAGTTTAGTTTGGGATTATGACCGGCCGGGACTGGTTAGACCAAAGGGTCTGTTTCTATGCTGTATGACTCTCTGACCTTGAAAATATGTCATGGTACAAGGTCAAAAGGAAGTAATTGAAAATTATTGAAAAATTGACTTAAACTTGTACTCAAGGCTCTGAAGGCTCCAATTCCAAAGGCTTCCTTGCAACATAGGTAACATGACACAAATTCAATTTAAAATCATGATAAATGGACTGAAGATCCTGACTGGGTCAAAATATAATCTTCTCGAGTAAAAGCAGAAAATGGTGAAAGTGCATTGCTGGTTGATCTGCATCTTTCAGAGAAAGATTAGTTAATGCTGAATGAAACCCTGATATTAATCAGCCCTCTGTATTCTAGATGTGCACAATCTCTCAAAGCACAAGTAAATCATGCTGCAGTGAGCATGTTCCCAGTCTGATTTCAGCCCATTGCTGAGATTGTGGGCAGTTGAAGGCAATATAATTTCTAGCTCATGGTTTTGAAGGAATGCACTAAGATTTTCACTTATTTCCAAATTAAAGGGAACAAACAAAATACTGTGCTTATATTTACACCTACATTTTATATCACTCCATTTTTGACAGATGAAATTTGATGCGGGTGTGATGTGATTTATTTTGGTAGAAAGAAGTCATAGGCAGAATGGGTTTTAGATTTTTAGTTTTAAAGTTTATTGTCATTGTTGTGGCGCCTTCTTTATTATCCTCAGCGCAGAGGTGGTTTTGGTTTACCATCTCTTTTGAAAGATACTATCTCTGAAAAGATGGAGGCCTGGTTTAATGACTGAAGTCACTACAGTAATCCTCAAATTTATGATCTTCTAAATCTAAGGCAAGAGATCTATGATTAGTCAAAATTGACACCTTGTGAAAGCCAGAGATGTAACGGAACCAAAATAAATCCCTGTGAACCAAAATGGACAGTAATATAGGTACAGGAGTACACCATTCAACCCATCAAATCTGCCCTGCCATTCAATACAAAGATGGCTGATCAACACTTCAACGTCTCTTATCAACCTCATCGCCATAACCCTGTACAGCATTGATAGTTTTTGATTACCAATCTCTACCTCAGACATACTCAAAGACAGTTATTCCCGGAGCCCCTCGAAGCAGAGAATTCCAAAGATTCATGACCCTCAGAGTAAAAAGAAAAAAAAAATTCTCATCTCATACTTAAGTGGTACTCCTCTTTTTAAAATTATGCTGCTGGAATAGATGTTCAAACCTGGTTTTCAGAAGATTTGGAGTAACTGTTGAAAGACTGCTCTGCATCTGACTACACCACTGCCCCGATTCTCTCTATTCTCCTGGTACCAATTATATCCAGCTTGGCCTTTTGGCAAGTTAATGGAAGCAGTAAACATGAAAGTGCTCCTCTCATCCCTATTTGCTGCTTCCCATTATAAACCAACCAAAGTAGTGTAGAGTTCTGGAAGCCTCAAGAACATCAGTTTACAGTCAATCCGATTGTAATTATCTCTCCACAACTTGTTAGGGAATAGCTCAGATTTAACCACACAATTTGCATTCTTGAAATCCTGTTTTGAGTTTCCATCCAGATATCCTTCACCAAAAATTCACAAGTTTAACATTCTGATGAATGGTCATTGGTGTTGTGCCTGATCCACTGAATGTTTCCAGCATTTTCTGATGTTATTTCAGATTTCTACCTTCTTAATTATTTTGGTTTTGTACTATTGTTCAGTTTGTTAGGTACAATAACCATCGAATAACAAAGCAACAATGATCAAGATAGAAAAATAGAGAGGAAGAAGAAAAAAATCAGAAATGATGCTAGAAATAGGATGAAAAAATAAGAAAAACCAAGGAAAAAAGATTGATTATCCAGTTGCTGATCCTTTTAAGCAGTTACAGTGGCAACACTTCATTGATTGAGGATTATTTGGAATATCCTGAGATTTTGAAAGTTGATTTATATAAAAGAACTCCCTGTTGTTTTTATTCTTTCCCTTGCTTGCGTTTCCTTCCTCTCTCTCACTCTTTCAGCCTTTTCCCACCTCCTTCCGTTATTCTGTCTTTCTCTTCTTTCCTTCTCTCATTCTTTCTCATATTTACTTAAGACTTTTACAGGTTCCATGCATTTAAACATTCTAAGTCACAGCAATTGCTTTGAAAGGCCAGTAATTAGATTTTCATCAGCTATGAAATACAAAATATTAACAGACAAAATCAATCCATCAAAGTTTTAATTTTAAGGAGTTGGAAACTAGTGAATACTTTCATAATATGGACTGAAGACTTTTGAGAAAGCAACTCACCAACTACAACTCAAGAGCTATAAATGCTGGCCTTGTCAACAATGCCCACATCCTGTTCATGCATTAATTAAAAATTAATATGGGGCAATAATTTCACCAACAGTACGGGAAATGTAAGCTACAAATCTGACAGAATCAACTGACCAACAGCCACACGAGGGAGCTATAGGATGAGAATTTCATCACCATGCAACTGCTGAAAACTTCATCTAAATAATGGTTTGTCGAGATATTGGATCGATCTTGGAGGTTAGATTAATATGTTTGTATTTTGGCAAGGACATATGGCTTTTTGATCTAAACTGGAAATAATACTCAGATTGCAGGAAATCTGAGGGAAAGCTAGGGAAATGTCAATGTTATTGAAATAGGGAGGAAGGAGGGATGGACAACTGCACCTCAACACAATCTGGTAATTTCTCCTCTTTGCAAATGTCCAAACCAAAAGAAACCAGAGGATATAAAGTTTCAAAACTGGATATAAAGTTTCAAAGCTATATATAAAGCTCAGATCATGCACTGTGTTGAATTTATTACATGAATGTCCATTAGGGGGTCTGAAACAGGAGAAGTATGGTTGAAGACTCAGCATGACAAACCAAATCTTGTACATGTCAAATGAGCAACATAATTAGGATGAATAGGAGAGTGTGTGACAGGTAGTTTATTGAATCATCAGAGACTGGCTTTTGGTCAAGCCAAAGACAGACCCATTGTCATAAATATAACTAGCAAAATAGACAAGGGCTCTAACTATAAACAGTATATCTGACTTCTTCTCCCATTTGTTAGATTTGCATTTTTAGGTTTTCACAGTTTTTGGGCAGCAAATAGCCAAAATATGAGTTAATAATACTGTAGCAAGGAAAGCAGCATCTGGAGCCTGAGTGAATAGGACAGTAACTGCGGATCTCTTCAATCAGTCGGACTGTGCTGCTGAAAGAATGATTGCCGTGAGCAGGTTAAGCGGTAGCTGCTGTACAGAAATGGAAAAAAACTTTTACTTTTTTAAAGTCATGAGCTTTTAATAATGTGGAAGAATGGGATTTCTCATACAAGTTCTGAAAAGATGTGCTAAATGTATACTAAACTGAATGCAAGCAAAGAAGGCTGCATTTATGGGCAACGTTGTCACAAGGTAGAGAAAGTAGAAAAGTAGAAAAGGGACAATAGTGGTCTTCTTGAAGCAGGTGGGAAAGGTTAAAGATGTCTGCAAATACTCCTGCCACATGGTCCGCACAGCCAGGGACTCCAGCAGGCCCAGTTACTTTCCATGGGTTCACTCTCAAGAACGTCAATCTGGTGTCTGCGGCAGTGACTGTAGGTACGAATGCACCCAGGGCAAGTGACATCGTTTCACTGACCTTCTGTTCAAAACGAGCATAGAATGCACCGAGCTCATCGGGAAGGGATTTATTGTTGCCAGTGATTCTAATCAACTTTGCTTTGTAGCCCATTATGTCGTGTCCGCCTTACCACAAACGATGAGTGGTCACGTGGTTAGTCTGGAACTCTAGCTCAGTCTGATATTGTCAGTTGGCATCTCTGATGGCTTTGCATGGTCACACCTGGATTTCTTTTATAGGTCTGGGCCACTCGAATTGAACACCTCAAAACTGGACTTTAGTTGGGAGCAGATCTCCCAGTTCATGCATGGTTTCCAGTTGGGAAACACTCGGAATAACTTCTTTGGCATGCAGTCTTCTACATACTTACTCACAAAGTCTGTAATGGTAGTGGCGTACTCATTTAGGTTGGCTGCTGAGTTCTTGAATATGGACCAGGCCATTGACTCTAAATAGTCAGATAGCAGCTCGTCCGTTACCTCACACCAGCACTGTACGACTTTCTGAACCAGGTCCTCACACTTCAGTTTCTACTTGCAAGCCGGGAGAAGGAGCACAGCATTACGGTCTGATATTCCAAAGTGTTGGCGGGGGATGGATGTCTTTGATGGTTGTGTAGCAATGGTCAAGGACGTCTAGATCTCTGGTGGGACAGGTGATGTGTTGATGGTATTTGGGAAGCACTCGAGAGACTGGCCTGTTTGAAGTCACCGGCAACAATGATCAAGGCCTTGGGGTATTCCATCTCAAGGCTATTTGTAGTGATGCATATTTCATGAAGTGCATTCTTCACTTCTGCATCAGGTGGAATGTAAACTGTTGTTATAATAGCAGAGGTGAACTCCTGTGGCAGGTAGGGAGGACAACACTTCACCATTAGATATTCAAGGTGCAGAAAGCAGTAACTCACCAGGTTCACCACACCTCAGCACCAAGAGTTGTTGATTAGGAGGCAGACCCCACCACCCGTTCCCTTGCCCAAGGCCGTTGAGCGGTCCATCCAGTGAACTGAGAAACCCTCAGGTTGTAAGGTACAATTAGGCGTAGCACGAGTGAGCCATGTCTCTGTAAAACAGAGCACACAGCAGCATCTCAATTCCCTTTGAACTGTAAGTCTGGATATAAGTTCATCCAGTTTGTTTTCAATACCTTGGATATTTTCCAGGAATATGGTGGGGAGGGAGGGGGACTTGAAACCACGTTCTTTTGCTCTCACCTGCAGGCCAGTAAGCCTCCCACGTTTCCTCGATTTCTGTCCCTTGAGTTGGTGAGGGAGGTCTGCTGTTCCAGAAGGTGCATGGGTGCGTCTGCTGGGGTCCTGAGCACTAGTTGCTGCCTTGAGGGTATCCATGGAGTCAGGTAGGTCAGGCCTTTGAGAAGCCGATAATGTGTGATCTCTCTGGGCTTGCGGTCACTGTTCCAGCATCGGCAGTTTGGCCCCATCGGTTCAGTCGGTTGAGTTCTCCAGGAGGTGCTGGTTGTTCCCATAAGTTGAAGGATCTCCAGATCTGAAAGTAGATTTGAGACCACTGTCAGTAATTCTGACAGACTTAGAATAGGGGTTTAAAGGAACAGAATGATTATAAGAAAAGGATCTGCTGGGGACAGCTCACAAAGAGTTGCCACTCTCCAGCGCCATCTTGGCTTCAGAGTGATTTCTGGCAATCCCCACTCCCCTTCCATACTTCCCCACTCCCCATGTGGCCAGGGATTCAGTAGTGATCCTAAGGCTAAAACAATACCAGGCAGCAGCCACTGGTCCTGTGGGCACTGCAGGCAATGGGGAGCTGACAGCCTTTTAGCTGACCGGCAGCTATCGGGGCCAGCATTTTGGCTCCTCGGCTGGTTTGATACCCTGACACTAGCCACTTGGACATATAAACAGCATTGTGCATTCCTCTCAAAAGCAACGTTGGGCTCCCTTCCCTTCTTGGACCAGTGGGTTCCCACTTCTAGCACTAAATCCTGGCCAGAGGCAGGCCTAAGAGCACTTTAATATACCAAACAGAATAGAAAAATATTGTTTGATGGAAATAGACAACGTCACTGTAGTGTTAAATGTTCCACTGAACTGACCGCAAGTAGTTGTGGTTGGTCTAACTATGGACTGCTAATTTAGAATCAGACTTCACAGATAGAGATCAGAGAAAGTTAGATGCACTGTAAATTGAAACTAAGATAATCAATTAAATACTTGTAAGTATTTAGAGCAGGCCAGAAGCTTGGAATACTGCGGCGAGTAACTCATCTCCTGACTCCTCAAAGCATGTCCACCATCTACCAGGCACAAGTGTGATGGAATACTCCCCAATTGCCTGGATGAGTGCAGCCCCAACAATACTCAAGAAGCTTGACACCATCCAGAACAAAGCAGCCCGCTTGATTGGCACTACATCCACAAGTATTCACTCCCTCCACCACTGACACTCAGTAGCAGCAGTGTGTACTATCTACAAGATGCACTGCAGAAATTCACCAAAGATCCTCAGACAGCACCTTCCAAACCCACGACCACTTCGATCTAGAAGGACAAGAGCAGCAGATAAATGGGAACACCACCACCTCCAAATTCCCTTCCAAGTCACTCACCATCCTGACTTGGAAATATATCGCTGTTCCTTCACTGTCGCTGGGTCAAAATCCTGGAATTCCCTCCCTAATAAGCATTGTGGGTCAACCCACAGCAGGAGGAATGCAGCGGTTCAAGAAGGCAGCTCACCACCACCTTCTCAAGGGCAACTAGGGATGGGCAAGAAATGCTCCAGCCAGCAACACCCACATCCCATGAAATGAATAGAAAAAGAAAGTGAATAGATTCTGACATTTCATTGATTCATTGACTAATTTGGCACAGCCCATGTACTTGACTTCAAAAATGAGTTACAATAGGATATGCACTTCGCATGTAAGATAATAGTTCTGTTTCTCACCATGAATTTATGAAAAAAAATTCTAAGGGAATCATTTTATGATAATTTTGCCACTTTTACCTTCTGGCATACAACTGGAGTATGAGATTTCTGCAACAAGTGAGGTCTGTTTAAAATTACTTCCCTCCTACCCTGGTGTTTTCTTAAACACAGAATTGAAGTACTTTACGCAGAAAATTACGGCACATATGTAAACATTGACATTGTTTCCTGCAAAAGTCATATTATATTAATTATTTGTTCAATTTAAATATATTAGAATGTTGCGTTGAATTTTTCAAGAACTGACGAAGTGTCAGCTTTAGGGAGTTTCAAGGAGGGTTTCTCTATGTGAGCTCTAGTGAGTTATCTCACACAGTTTCCCCACTACTCACCTCTTTATGTATTCACCATGCCTCTTTGATGCCGCATTTGCCATATAATGCACTCACCAGCAGCAAAGGTACTCACCACTGCCAGGACCATCTGAGATTTGTGTCATTGGCGCCAAGTGTAACCACAACAGTGCATCAAGTCAATTAGAGAAAGCCAGGAACTGCCAACTCTCACCAAGGTTCATGGCCTACCACTCTGTCACCATTGCACGTAGCATCTTTGATCATTTACTTGAACCCATCCCAACACCTCCCCCAGTCTACTAATTCCACATACCCTCTGCACTTCCTACTCATTCATGACTTTTCCTCCACAGGCACCAGCATAACAACTATACCAGCCATTTTTATCTCACACACTATTCTTCTTGTCATTCCAGGGGAAATTAGCCCACAATAGGGCAGAGAGCCAAGATGGGTGGCGGAGTGCCCAACGTTAATCTCCTCACTACTTCTGAGGAGAGGATCCTTGCCTTACCGAGAGAGGATTGTGACCGCTCATGTGGTGATACTGAGACCCTTCTGTCCTAGCGACCAAATAAGATTCATTCTCAACTGCTGTGCTGCTCTTCCATTGCCAGCACTGCAAATGTATTCTTCACACGTACAGAGTTCTTCCCCTATTTCGCAACTCATTCCTCCTCTTCTCTCCTGTACTGGACTGACACCAACCTAGATTGTGTATCTAAATGCTTAGATGGATCTTGTGCCTATAATTTTAGTTTCAGCAACAAAAATTCTACCAAGTTACAGTTGGCACTGCAGGAAGTTAGTGACTGGTGAGGAACTGTAAAGAGAGGGAAGTGAGTCACTGCTTGAGGTGCAACGGGTGAATGCAGTGAAATTTGATTGAAGGAAAGTAGGGAATCTGTAGAAAGATTTGCAGATGAAAAGAATGATATGGAAATCAATTAGTCAAGGCAATGCCAAACCAGTGGCACTCAGAAACTACAGGAACAGTAATGGACTGGAACCTGGACCACCTATGGAAATGGGTAGGACCATGCTGAACCACTTCAGCATGTTTGTGAAAGGTGGAGGGCAACAAAGAGAGAGTTGAAGAAATTGCGTCTGAATTGACAGATAACAATGAATTGCAATTATCTGCATTTAATACTGTGAAACATCCCAGAGTGCTTCACGCTGTAAACAGACAAAAGAAGCAAAGAGATATTAGGAGCAGTTACTAAAATGCCAACCAGATATCTTAGGTAAGATCTTAAACAAAGAGAGACACAGAGTTTAATATAAGACAAGTACTGAACTTGCTTACAAATGTGAAAGGTAACAGCCCAGGCTACAGAAAAAAATGGAATTGCATGGCAGGTTTGGCCTGAGAGATAGACTTGTGACAGAGGCTGAGAAACTGTAACTTCAGACCAATTCTTGCATGCATCTGACCTCTCAAGTACATCCGGAGTCATATGGGAAACGATAAGCACAAATCTATTTTATAACTTGAAAAACGTCTTCTGAGTCAACTGAATACAGCAAGTTGGTAAACAAAAGTGCAGTTGGAACTTTTATGCACTACGGGCTATTTGTCACATTGTGGTCTTCTTGAACCTGTTTGTTCCTCATCTCAACTGTAAGTGGAAGCAACTGACTTACAAAATAAGTATGGTTGGAAAGCAATGTGGATGCTGATCATTTGAAACGTAGCAAAATGTTGGATATACTCAGTATTTTTGGTCTTTTCAGCTCTTTTTGATGTTGATACCACTTTAAGACAGCACTTGGTTTTAAGCTATAACCCTGCAGCTATATGGCAAACTACAACCTGTTAGTGTGATAACAGTAGGTGAGGTAATGCTAGTCTGTTATAAAGGAGTTTAAGCTAGAGGGTTCTGAAGAGATTTACAAGCCTGTCACTGGGTATGGAAGGTCTAAGTTATAAAGAAAGGCTGGATAGTTGGGGATAACACAGTGTGGAGCTGGAGGAACACAGCAGGCCAGGCAGCATCAGAGGAGCAGGAAAGCTGATGTTTCAGGTCGGGACCCTTCAGAAATTCTGAAGAAGGGTCCTGACCCAAAACACCAGTTTTCCTGCTTCTCTGATGCTGCCTGGCCTGCTGTGTTCCTCCAGCTCCACACTGTGT